CAAATGGCTACTTTACCAACGCGAAAATTCCAGTGTAAGAAAACTTTTCCATGATGACCGTGGTAATTGAAGATGTTTTACCCGATCAGATGGTGGAAATCATTTCAGTGTGGAAAAGCCGAAAAATTCTTGAAATATAGCTGGCCACTCGTATTCGAATCTACTAGGGTGACTAGCTAATCCCTATTGCAGACGCTTGCTCAGGCGCATTTCTGTTTATTCGACACCCACAGAGGCCACCTGTGGTTTATACTACAACTATACTGAGCAGACTCTAGCTGCAGTTCCTGGGAAAGAGCGTGTTATCTAGGACGTTATGTTGAACAAGGTCAGCACGTTCAAGCCCTCGGCCACAATGACTTGTGATTTCGTGCTAGACGGCAACTAAGGGTAGCGTCTACCCAATTTCACTCACATGGCTTGGGTCAACCCGTGGTAAGGTTTTCAGGCACTTTCTGCACGCTGGGATCGACCTCTCCAGATCGATAACATCTCCTTCCTCACAAATCGATCATATACTCGGGTTTCATGATCACAATGCAAACGTTCAAACCACTCGGCCACGTGTCCATAAATAATAATTACATAGATTTACATATTGAATGACAAGATCGTTATTAAATCTTAGCAACATAAGACACGCAGACGACACCATTTTGCTGTCAGAAGCAACAAGAAAACTCTACAGGCAGAGTCGACATAAGAGGTTGAATGAAGAAAATCGAAAAGAAAAAAACTAATTCTAAACTTCTTGATTCCCAATTAACTTTGAGCTTCAAAAATTTAAATGTATTTCAAATCGTTATCTGTTGTCTCCTTAATCCTTGTGCTTTTATTGTCTTCTCTCTTTAATAGTATTTATTTCTTCTCTCATACTCTCTAACATTCAGTAACCTATTTTATCTTAGTGGCTTTATTGCATTGCTTTGGGCGAAATGATTAAAAAAAGAAAAATATGTGTGAATTGTTTTAAGAGACCATACAGAAATCCGAAGGTGCACTGGAATAGCGAAAGACGCCTTTCCAAAGATAAACAAAATCTTGTGACCAGGTAGATGGTAAAGAATAACAAAACAAGAGGTTGCAGATAAATTGTTTATTGAACAGTAAATACAACAGAAGACTGTTACACGTCTTGGAAGTGTGTGTCGATTGACCTGCGTTCAGTCTATATCACCGATCCCCCTGAGGCCAACTTTTCCTAGTAACTTTATAGTAAGTCGAAGAGTCCACCATAGCCTCATTAGATGGAGGATGCCACAGCACAAAGTATCAAGAAACAGGACTATTTCATTAGGAAAGAGTCCTGAACTGCTATGTAATATTTAGTAGTCCTGTACTGGACAATTTCATCAGAGTTGAGTGTAACCCAACAAACGAGGTTTTGTAAATAGACGGCAGAACAGGCAGTGAGAAGGATTCTAAAAAAGACATTGAAAAGAGCTACAGATACTAGAAAGTTGTGGAGAGCCATGACCGTTCACGTACTGAAGTGATAAAAAAGATGATGATTATTAATTCTGTATATCTTAACTTACATTTTCTCTTTTAGCTTGCATGTTGTCTGGTCTAAAATCTGGTGGAAATTGGTGAAAGTGACAGTTCGACATTCCAACCACCTGAAGAAGGCCGGAGCGTACAACGAGCGAAACGTTGTAATAAATATTGCAAAAAAAAAGATGAGGACAATAGTCCGAATAATATAAACAGATTTCCTATTGAATAATGAGTTTGAGTGTTACTTCCTTTCTATAATTGTGTCAACTAAGTTTAATAAAATTCAAGTCACTAACTTCGAAGATTAAAAATGGATCACTTAGTTATTGAAATATATAATGCTTTGTTGTCTGGTTCAAGGCTACTTGGCGAGAATTAAAATCCCTACATTGTTAATAAATATTTATTAGGTTGGTGCAAAAATAATGACGTAATAATGTCGTTTTTCGACGTTAAAAAAGACGTCAAAAAACGACATTATTACGTCATTATTTTTGCACCAACCTAATATTTAGCTGTGTATAGTACTAAGCTTAATAAATATTAAGGCACGAAATTACATCAGAAATTCCAAAACAAGGCGATTCTAGACGCAGTTTGTATGCTTCATGATGGAAATCCTTTTTTTTTTTAACATTGAGTGATATTCCTCACATGGTTACATTTACTATACTCAATATGCTTCGATATGTTAGGCACATGGCCGAAATGAATTCAGAAAAAAAACTAATGAGGGACAAACTCACTAGAGTAGTAATGAGCAGCGTGACGAATTTGTTAATCCTGACACCGAAACGATTCGATTTTAATAGATATTATCAAAGCCATAGAAATTGTGCATTAAGGGAACATCTAACTTGCTGTATCCTGACCTGGTCTGTGAACTAAGATTGCTATTAGACCACAGCGAACCGTCCTAAGCGATTAAATATCAAATTTGTATAATGAATTAAAAAAATGAATCAATTAATTGTGCAGACGTTTTGTGTCTGTCTATCACAGTTTTTTTTTAAATTTTATTTTAGGATTAGTCAGTTTATCTGTTATTTATGTTGTTAGTTATTTAATTAGATAGATAGATAGATAGATAGATAGATAGATAGATAGATATGAAATGAATCAGATAGATAGATAGATAAACAGCTAGATAGATATATATGAAATGAATCAGATAGATAGATCGATAGATATGAAATGAAATGAATCACATAGATAGATAGATAGATAGATAGATAGATAGATAGATAGATAGATAGATATGAAATGAATCACACAGATAGATATGAAATGAATCACATAGATAGATAGATATGAAATGAATCACATAGATAGATAGATAAACAGCTAGATAGATATATATGAAATGAATCAGATAGATCGATAGATATGAAATGAATCACATAGACAGATAGATAGATATGAAATGAATCACATAGATAGATAGATAGATAGATAGATAGATAGATAGATATGAAATGAATCACATAGATAGATAGATAGATAGATAGATAGATAGATAGATAGATAGATAGATAGATAGATAGCAAACCAGTATCGGTCTATATTTCTGACATGAGGTATATACACTATTTACATTGTTCGGACTGTTGTGCTCATCTTTATTATCATATTCATGACGTTTCGGTCGTTCTGGGCTCCGGATTTCTTCCGGTGATATACATTGAAACGAAACCTTTATTCCAATGGGGTAGATTGTTCTAGTTTCCACTGAAACTGAGATATCCAGAAAAGGCATGGCGAAAAAGGTGGAACTAGAACAATCTACCTTTGTGGACTAAAGAAAGTTATTTCGGTTCGAAACTCCAACGTATATCACCTGAAGATGGTCGGAGTGTACAACGGCCGTAATGCAAATATAGTAATAAAGATGAGGACAATAGTCTGAACAATGTAAATATTGTAAATAGTTATATAACTTTTTTTCATTATCGGTATATCTTATTCTGTTCGTATGTATTTATCAGGAATATACAAACTTCCCCAGCAATCTTATTTGGAAACAATACATACATACATAGATAAGTACGCCTTACCACTTACCATGGTGTAATGTTTTGCAATCTCCCCAAACAAAACATTACTGGGTTTGCCATACCAGAGTAAGCTTAACGTGAAGTAATATAATGCTACTCATGATGGCATTTACTTAGAACGCAAAGGACATGACAGATTTGAAATAGGTTCAATACCTGGTTGTATGTTCATTATGTCATAATCTTAGCTGAGAGAGAAAATATCTCCAAGTAAGAGAACAGGTTTTCTTCTCGCAAATCGTTTCACACAGTGTGAGTTACAACGCCATTTGCTCATGTTTATTGGCCACTACATCAGCATTTGATAACATGTACATAAGACCACAATAAAAGGGCACCCAGTGAGGATCTTTATTATTAATAATAATAATGGTTGACTTATTAGGCTTGGAGGTGTTTCTGGTTGTATTTCCGTGTACTGACGTAGAAAAAAAAATCTTTCCTCGCGTACGTTGAAAAAAATCTCTGAAAACCTTATGTCTTATATCATTAAAATACAAGTATAAAATCATGTATTTGTGGCAAGGCTCTCAATAAGTCAAAAGCCTAATGGGGAAAAAGCAACGTATATTTATTTTTGAACAATAAAATAAATCTGTTCATATTTCTGAGATGAGGTATTATGTACATTATTTACATTATTCGGACTGTTGTCCTCATCTTTGTCACCATATTTATCACAACCTCAAGGACACATAGCACAGGGGGTAAAGACGTTGGTTAGATCCAGTGACAGGATCCAAAGAGTGTAAGTTCAATACCCGGTTAAGGCAGTGAAGAACTTTCAGAGGGAAATTAACAGGAGATAACTAATAACTGACATCCATCAAACATGGCAAGTGGAACTAGAACAGTCTACCCCAGGGAGCGACATTCCAACCACCTGAAGAAGGCCGGAGCGTACAACGGCCGAAACGTTGTGACAAATATGGCGACAGAAATGAGGACAATAGTCCGAATAATGTAAATAAAATAAATATTCGTTGTTTTAAATAAATGCTTTATGGGATCAACACTACTTTATATATCATGAATCGAACATTAGACAGTGAAATTTTCAGATGAAAATTCAGCTAATGACTACGTGTCAGACTAAAAATTTATTGATCCATCCTAGCACACATGCATGTATTTGATTAATAAAAGTGTGAATGAAAACTTGTGAGACAATTTCAAAGATCAATGACGTTGATGGAGACATGACGAGGTCAGCAATTACAAGAGGGAGAATCAAGTCGGAGCGGCCTTTGCGCTTATTGGCAAGAAATGATTAAATTATTTCCTGGCCAAAGAAGCCTCGGCTCGACAAACGGCCAGGTCAAGGCTGATTTGTTGTCAGCGGAACTGCGGCTCAACGTGTTAACATGATCCGAATTGAGACGAAGTTTCAGTCGCAGTTCAATTGGAAGTGACTAATCAGGCAGAGAAAGAGTGGCGTTGGCGATATTGATGGTCATTGAGGCACCAGCTGTCCGACAATACGCCGACCTCCGCCTACATCACTTAAATACTGCTACCATGGCCTTTTGTAAGCAAAACGGTAATTAGATGACTGGACAACACAGGTGACCGGTCGATTGCATTATCAGTGTAGGGCGTTGTAGCAGCTTCCATCATTTGCACATTACTCACTTCAAATGCAGAAACAGATACCTAATTCCAATCTCTTGTAACTTTAATGTCCAGAATAGCTAAGTTTCTACAGCAACGAAAATTTTATCAAAATAGTACCCTTAGTTACTAAGTTAAATCTATTTTTTATGACTAGTTTTACTCCATCTAGTCTTTAACCGCTATAATATATTTATTTACTTCCCATTTGGCGCTGTCTGTTCTAATCCTTGAGTGCGTATTTGGACGTTGAATCCAGAGAAAAGATAAGGTGAAAAGAGTTTCCTTCTCTTAAATAGTTTGAGACTTAAAACAGTGGCGGTTGCAATGTCTTTCGCTGTTGCTTATTGGTCAACTTATGCATGAATACGCTGTTAAAATCTACATCAACCCCTGACGGCAATTAGCGACGCATTGTTTCCTCATTTAATCATGTTACTGAGTATGAAAGATGTCCTTCAATCACGTCATCCATGACCCACTTTGGTCACTTTCTGATAATGTTACACTAGTAATACAATTCGAGCGCCATTTCCCCGTTTCTTTTTTTTTTTCTCAGACATGACGAATGCCCATTATTCGAGCATGGGATGTATTCGATGGTTTCCAGTCATATGTTTTCTATATAGATTCATTTTTTTTTACTCAGTTCACCCCATGTATGGTGATAATACCACTAAGATGCAAGGTGGATGAAAGAGAATGAAAAGACTATAGAAGGAACGGGAAACCTAATCCTAAACAGGAAACAATGGATGAAGTTCTACTGTGATGAGTGTTGAGCTTTAAAAAAAAAAATGAAACATTTAAACACACACACACACACACATATATATATATATATATATATATATATATATATATATATATGGTTGGTTGGATTGATGTGAGTTTGTGACCCTGGGTTTCACGCTTTTGCGATCGTTGCCTGACGATTGCAAAAGCGTGAAAACAGGTCTAAACTCACATCAATCAACCAAATATGAACTCTATCTATTGATCGCTTTCTAAAGTAGCGCGTATATGATATATATAATAATATATATATATATTTACACACACACACACACACACACACACACACACACACACACATATATATATATATATATATATATATATATATATATATATATATATATATATATAAAGATATTGGTCAGCGTTGAATTAGACCAGGAAACAGTAGTATTAAAAAGTGCTCAATACACGTATAAATAAAATAAAATACTATGCAGAGCTTTTGAATTTAAAAAAAAAATTAGGAGGTCAGCGGATCACGCTACATTGGATTAAACATTTCGGTATCTTCAGCTAATCCAGGCTAAATAACTGAAATGCACATACTTTCATCCGGGTTCATAAGATCATACATACAAAAAAGTTCTTTTTTAGTTCGTTTGAACAAGGATGAAAACATGTACATTTCATACCCCCCCACCTCATTATAATTTCAATACCCTTAATGTTTCCTCCCATTTTCTATTACGTTTCACGTTGTAAGTGTATGTATTTTTAAAATGATAAGTCGTTAGGAAATTATTTTGCCCGGATCGCCTTAAGATGCCGAAAGGTTGAAACAAAGGTAGCGTGATCGGCTGATCTCCTAATTTTTTACACACACACACACACACATACACACACACCCAACTCACGCACCCGACATACATATGTAGTTAAATTCCCAGATGAATTCTGTGGACAAGACAAATTGGTATAAGATGACCAATTGGAAAAAATATCTTAGTTTTTTGCCGACGCGTTTCGTCTTCTGATTTTTTCAAGACAAAAATGAAATCGAAATGTTTTGCTGTTGCAGTTATATTACAAAATTCAAAGAGACGCTTTTGGGTAAGCCCCTTTCTAGTTAATGTAAATTTCTTTTATACTAAGAGTTTTTTTTTTCTTTCCATGTCGAAAATATAGTTAAATTCCAGTTCAATCGTCATCTTATGACAAATTGTCTCGACATCAGAATTCATCTGGGAATTTAACTATATTTTTTCCAATTGTCATCTTATACTATATATATATATATATATATATATATATATATATATATATATATATATATATGTAAAATTATTTATTTAAAAATATGATTCCATCACTACATAAGAGTTCTCATGTTTCAAAACAAGAGCCGAAAACTTCAATATAATTATTCGAATTCACATAATTTTTCACTATTTTTGTCTAATTTAAGTTTAGGGTTTTTATTAATACTATTCTTGCATGGAGGTTTATTCAAGATTTTATTATTGTGTTTTTTTTTTTATTTTCAATACTGGAAAGAGTGATAAGAACTTCTGGACTTGAGAAACAAATTTTCCGGAAAAAATTGTTTTCAGAGGATTTTTTTTAATAGAAATTTCAACCGACAGTAGAAATAAGCGTTTTTAATGCAAAATGCTTTTTTTCTCGTTTATTCAAATACTTGTGAAATTTGTAATAATCCGGGATTAGTAGATATTAGTAAATAATTGTTTTGATTTATTTTACACGAACATCTTAAGGAAAGGCATGAAACCACCTCGTCTGTCTCTAAATAACTTGAATAAATAAATTGTGGAAGAATAAACACTCAAGGAAACCATTTACTCTATTTACCTTGTTTGGACTATTGTCCTCATCTTCAATGTATAACTTACCACGTTTCGGCCGTTGTACACGCCGGCCTTCTTCAGGTGATTGGAATTTCGAACTGAACCCTTTATTTTATTTTAATACGGCAAAGGACAATAGTCCGAACAATGTAAATAGTGTAAATAATTACAATACCTTATCTCAGAAATATAGACAGATATCGAGGAAACTATTCTCCCATAACTATCACATCGTATATGTCGTCAATCTGGTTGATTTTGCATATAATTAGCTAGAGAGCATGTTCCAAAAACGAATTGGTAGCAAGGAATTTTACCGGTTATCTAATACAAAAACTCCGGTGACCGTAATGAAAGCAAGCTTTTTTTTTTTATCAGGCACAAAATAAATAAATAACCGTAGCAAAAAGAAGTGGAGAATGAAACTCGGATATTCATGCCTTAGATTGGTTATTTTATAACCAGTTTGTAACGGTGACTTTCTTGAAAGGGACCATGGTTAATAGTCCAGTTTCACTGACCATTACAACTTGTAGTGGCTGCAATTCTCACTGGACAACCTAAAGTCGTAAATCATTATTTTGCTAAACCAAGTATAATAAATACTAAAACCCTTGACGATGGATTTTTATTCATTAACAAATTTCACGATTTTTATCTGAAGCGAAATTTCTAAATATTCCGTGCTTTCAAACATATAAAAATAAAAATAAGCAATTTGAATTTATGCGTAAACTAGGGAAAATAATAAACAACAATTATCCGCCGTCTATTTCATTATATGAGTTTTTAAGCATATATATATATATATATCCGAATGTAATAATAACGAAAATAATATAAATTCTAAAGTTCACAGCATTAATTCAAAAGAGGGCTCGATAGCAAGAGTAGAGCAATAATTACTTATTATAATTTTTACATACGGACAAAAAACAACTTGCTCACTGCCAAAATGCATTCTTGTTTCGACTCGGCTCCATCTCGACTGGTGACCAGTGATCGAAACAAGAATGCATCTTTGTAGTGAGCAAGTTTTTTGTCCGTATGTAAAAATTATAATATATATATATATATATATATATATATATATATATATATATATATATATATATATATATATATATATATACATGCAGGTCGTCTTGTATAGATGTCGGATTTAATCTCAGATATTTGTATTTTCAAATTATTTAGTTTCGTTTCGTTTTTCTTTCATTTGTACATACTGTTTTTCATGATTTTCTTTTATGTCTTTTTCTAGATGATGTCTCTCTTTCACTCTCCCTCTTTCCATCTCTCCCCCTCTCTCCTCTCCTTTCTCTCTCTCTCTCTCTCTCTCTCTCTCTCTCTGTATGTCGAGGTCTTTCTGTCTTCCTTTTTTTATTGAATTAGATTTCCGAATTCTTCTTCCTCACATAACTGATTTTACATCCACTTCCATTTCGCGTTCTCTTACTATCAATTGCTTTCTTTAAATGTCTTCCAGACACACTTCCCAGTTTCTTTCATGCATTTTTTCACTCCAATATATCCATATTTTTTTTTTTGTCATTTTCGCTGTTATTGTTATTATCTTTTCTTTTACATCTGTTTTTTTTTTTTTTTTTTTAGTTGTTATTTCTACGTTACATATTCATTCTGTCAGTGTCCCACATTGCTATCTCACTGCTTCTCCGAAAGAAATTAATAAGAGATTTCTCCAGATATTATCGGAAAATTAGTTAGCTGCGCAAAAATGAAAATCTCAATCAGTTTTTAATTGGTCCGGCGATAAGATCTTAAACTTCTTGAATGAATTACCAACATCAGATAAATTGTGTAATTATAACCCCGAAGTATCTTTTGCTAGAATAACATAACAGACGACACAATCGGTCGGCAAAGAGGACAGACAGGCATTGAGAATGTTTCGCCTGTCTAATTTGCTTCTTTTTCAGACAAAGACGCATAAGATAGGTACTCACATTCGCAGTTGTATAAATAAAGGCATATGATAGAAGTGAATTGTTCATATGCAAAAAACGATACAGAATTAAGAAAAAAACAAACATTTGTGCATATACTTGTGTGTCTAATTGCATTTGTATGCGTGTGAGGAAATGCAAAAGCAATAAATCAGATGAAAAGCCATGAGAGGATAATTTACATAACAAAATCGTTTCGAGATTCATATAGACACAAAAATACATATATACTAAAAAAAACAAATACAAGACAAATTAAAACTATGTCAGTGAATATTGACACAAGCAATTATGCGATTATAAAGGTTATGTGTTTAGAAATATAAAAGTGTAAATTACGGGTGTCTCAACCTCAGTCATGACTGTCTTTCTGTCTGTCTATCTTAGCCTGTTCATATCTATCTATCTATCTATCTATCTATCTATCTATCTTGGTCTGTTTATATCTATCTATCTATCTATCTATCTATCTATCTATCTATCTATCTTGGTCTGTTCATATCTATCTATCTATCTATCTATCTATCTATCTTAGTCTGTTCATATCTATCTATCTATCTATCTATCTATCTATCTTAGTCTGTTCATATCTATCTACCTATCTATCTTAGTCTGTTCATATCTATCTATCTATCTATCTATCTTAATCTGTTCATATCTATCTTAGTCCGTTCATATCTATCTATCTATCTAAGTCTGTTCATATCTGTCTAGCAATATATCTCAGTCTGTTCATATCTATTTATCTACCTATCTGTCTGACACTTTATTCATATCTATCTATCTATCTATCTATCTATCTATCTTAGTCTGTTCATATCTAGCAATATATGTCAGTCTGTTCATATCTATCTATCTATCTATCTATCTATCTATCTATCTATCTTAATCTGTTCATATATCTATCTATCTATCTATCTATCTATCTATCTATCTATCTATCTTAGTCTGTTCATATCTGTCTGGCAATATATATCAGTCTGTTCATATCTGTCTAGCAATATATATCAGTCTGTTCATTATCTATCTATCTATCTATCTATCTATCTATCTTATTTTATTTTTTTTATTTCTAACTCAACATCCGTATATATTAATAAGCCTCGGCAGATACGAGTAGAAATTCATAAAAATATGAAAAGGTTCAACATCTGGACAGAGTCTGCATCTTCATGCATCTGATATTCCGACATTGTCATAAAACTATTAAAACTCCAGTTGCTTCGTGACGTATTGCTGGAACGCCCGGGCTTACATGCTCTATGACCCTTCTTGCATATATATATATATATGTATGTGTGCGTGTGTGTTTGTGTGTGTGTGTGTGAAAATATATAGAAAATAGGAAGGAACTGGTTAGGTAAATAATCCAAAGTCCCTTAGTATTTTAGTTATTATTTTTAAAAAAATAGTGCTCGATACAAAAGTAGAGCATAAATATAATTATTTATTTAAAAATATGATTCCAACTAATATGATATACATTGGGTCCACGAAGAATGATTTTAAAGATAGATGGAGGCGGCATAAGTGCTCTTTCAATAATATAAATAAAAGAAATCAGACTTCCCTATCTAAATATTTTTGGCATCTGAAGGAAACAAATTGGACACCTAAAGTAAAATGGAAAATTATAAACAGGGCTAGAACATGTAAAACTTGGGATGACCCATGCCCTTTGTGCCTCCATGAGAAATTGCACATTATTAAGCTTCTAAATAATAATAATCTATTAAACAATAGACACGAGTTAACGGTTTTTTGTAGGCATCATCAGATTTATGGTTTGAATTATTAGCTAAGAACAAGCATACAATATAATAACTTGATTAATCCATAGCCCAATCATCAGATTCATGGTCTGAATAATTAGCTAAGAACAAGCATACAATACAATAACTTTCATAATCCATAGCCCAAATAAATAGTTTAAATACCCTACAAAAAAATAACCCTTTATGAAGTCGTCAAAGAACAAACGTTACGGCAGTTTTTTATATGCACAAATCCCTTTCATAAAAAATAAAATAAAAAAATAAATAAATCTCCATAGACATGCAAACTAGACGAGGGTTAATACATCTTCCGTTTCAAATTTAGACACCCCTCCCTCTCCCTGACTTGTCATCTATGAAAGTAACTCTATACTGATACTTATTATTAACACCCAACACACGCCTACCCAATTTAAACAATTTGCCCTAGCTGTTACCATGGAAATTTTGATTTCAATTATTAAAACACGTAAATTTCAGAAATACGTTATTCAAAAAAAAAAAAAATTCGCTTGAAGATGGAACAGAGCTTACTTTAACTCAATTTAATTCAAATAATTATATTGAAGTTTTCGGCTCTTGTTTTGAAACATGAGACCTCTTATGTCGCGAGTTGGAATCATATTTTTAAATAAATAATTATATTTATGCTCTACATTTGTATTGAGCACTATTTTAAAAAAAATAATAACAAAAATACTAAGGAACTTTGGATCTACCTAACCAGTTCTTTCCTATTTGTCTATATATTTTCACAAATATATATATATATATATATATATATATATATATATATATATATATATATATATGTGTGTGTGTGTGTGTGTGTGTGTGTGTGTACCCAGTATACCTGAAATTTCTGGTACGTTTAAAAGTGAAATTATAAATGCTAAAAGTCTATAGTACATAAATGCACAAAGCTGAAAGGAAATCATATTCCTTTTTGTAATCCACAAGAACAAGCAGTCACCCACGCACACACAGATGAAAACAGTTATTTGATGTGTAGTAGGAGGTAACATTAGACAATATAGTCAGATATATGATAACACAAAACCCCAACAGATTATACAATAGTCAAGTAGTGATTGTCACATTGTTAAGAATTTGATCCTCGTTTAATAGTTCATATTCAGGTGAATCATAATAAAAAAAAGCAAGTTCATCCTTTCGAAAGGATAGACTATATTAAACGTTAAAAAATATCTGAATAAAATAACAAAAGAATCTGTTATCATTGCTGTCCCAAACATTCAAAATAAACTATATTACAGTGAAAAGAATATAAAAATAATACGACAGAGTAGGAAAAGTCAAGTACTCAGAACTATGCAAAAGCCTTGGTTATGACCTGCGAAAACAAAACATATTAGAAGAAAGCAGTTTCTGTCTTAGAAAATAGAAAAAAAAAATAGAAAAAAAATAAGATCCTCTATGATGATCGATTTGATAGTCATTAAAAAGAAAAGATACGCTCCAAAATCATAGCCGTGATTATTTTTTTAATTTTTTTTTTAACCATTACGCCCCAAGCAAGGCGTGAAGCCACTAGGATGCAGGGGGTTGCGGAAGATTTGGAGCGAGAGCAGATAGGAGTGATAGAAGAAAGGATGAGGAGAAGGATAGTGGATAGATCAAGGTAACTGGAGATGTCGATTGACATTACATTTGAATAGTTGGAGATTGTTTCAGGGAAACAGTAATTGGGGAGGGTGTTCCACTGGCGAGAGGTGCGAGGTATGAAGCTATTGAAGTAGAAGAGACGGCTACATTTAAATGTTTCTACAGTGAAAGGGTGGGAGCGGGATGCCAGCCTCGTAGGGAGCTTGAATTCATGGAGTCTGGGAACCAGTGAAAGCAGCTCATCAGATCAGTTACCATGGAAGTATTTGTAGAAAAGACAGAGAGAGGCGACGGCGCGTCTGTGAGAGAGTGACTGCAGACGAGATGTTAGATCAGGGCCAATTAGATTACATATCCGTCTCTGGATCTTGTCAAGAACTCCGAGGTAAGCAGAAGGTGCTCCAGCCCATATATGGCAGCAATACTCCATGCAAGGGCGAATGGTTGTTTTGTATATTTGAAGTATTGATTCAGGGGAGAAAAATTTCCTGGCGCGGCAGAGAGCCAACTTTCCTCGCGGTGGACCAGCGGATCAGTGATCAACACTAAAAGAACGCATAAAGCTAGAAAATACCAGGACCTTGCGCGCGTACGGATAGAAATGAGGGGGAAAATCTGTTAAGTTTTTGTCTGTAATAGATCACCTTCTTGCAAGAATTTTAAAAACACTAGAATTGTGACAAAATTCAGAATAGCCAGACGCTTATGTTGCGGTGACCGAAGAGGATACAAAAAAATATGCTTGACATAAAAGAGGACTTTTATTGTTACTGTATTTTCAGCAATAACAAACTAAGAATCAAATGCATGAAAGGTATTGATAATGGTTTGTCTTCCGATGTTTTTGCTCGTCTGTTGTCGACGCGTCTACTGAAAAGTCATACCTTTTCACCATAACTGCATGTGAATATCGATAGAGATTATTAATTTCAATATTGCTTCTATATTTATTAATAAATATTAACAGCTGTTAACGTGCGTTCAATTTTGAGCGTATCTGACGTTTGATAGTACATAATTTAACATTGTATATACGAATACTTCAATCATTCACTCACTCACATACACGTACATATAATACAGGTACATCCACACACACACACACACACACACACACACACACACACACACACACACACATATATATATATATATATATATATATATATATATGTATGGATGTTTGTGTATTATATAGCCTGGAGATTATGTTCATGAATGAAACAGACTGTTGCTAATCTGTTATGACCTCAGTGTCCACTTTTATGCCTATGCATGCTCTATCCATTTTTAGCACTTTTACCCATAAATATAGCATACCTTAAAATTATATTTTATCACACACACACACACACACACACATATATATATATATATATATATATATATATATATATATATATAAAGAAATAATCACGCATAGAACCAATCAGCAATATTAATGCTATTATTGACGACATCCATCGCTAGCAGTGTATAATGTATAATCTATGGATTAACAGTATTTTAATGCATACATTATACACTACTAGCGATGGATGTCGACAATAATAGCATTAATATTGCTGATTGATTCTATGCGTGATTATTTCTTTGTATATAAATTATATGCTTCCTAATATATATATATATATATATATATATATATATATGTTATTTTTATTGAATAACAGTATTTCCGTAGAGTCTTCACTTATTTTAAACATTATTTATTTCCTCTAATACTGCGTACTCAAGAAAACTTAACAAAGAAAATATGGGTTCTTTTTCTCGAGTACGTACGCCGGTAGACGAAGTAAATATATCTGATTAAAACAATAAAATCCAGTAATTCTTTACATATATATATATATATATATATATATATATATATATATATATATATATATATATATTTTGACCTGTACCATGTAGACATTGTCTGTTAGTGCCGAGGTCAATGCTGACAAAAAGAAAATCATGACACAAATTGAGTGACCTCATTGAATCGTGGCCCGACACAATTCGACCTCATACTCCCCATCCACCACTCTGTTCGACTGATGTTCCCTTTTGTGACATTTGTTATCAATCATCTTGAGCTGATATTCTCTGAAGCATATGCGAAAACGCTCGGCTTCCGAATTTGCAGTTCTTGGCATTGTCTTTTATATCTTCCCAATTTCCAACACAAATGATCCGGCATTTTTTACACTTATTTTTTTTGTGTTTTTGTGTTAATTTTTTTTTCTCGTATCAATTAACATCGACGAATTTCACTTGTGATTTATATTGTCACAAGAATGGTAGCACGTCTCAGGAACAATGAAGGAAAAGATAGAAGGTTAGAAAGAGAAGAACTTGTGAAATTGTTGATGGAAAAGAAAGAAAGAAAAAAGAAAGCAAGATAAAAAAACGAAAGAAAGAAA